CACACACACACACACACACACACACACACACACACACACACACACACACACACACACGTGTTAGGGAGGACTGTGCCGTTTCAGTCGTCTTGCTTCAGGATTTATCCCGTGGTGCAGAACAGAGCTGCTCCATTGTTCTGCTGGATTACAGTGGCTTAGTCTCATTGTATGTGTGCATGCGTGTGTGCACTTGCATTACTACTTTTGTGAGGACAGAAATGTGTTTCCACAGTCACACTGTGGGGACTCTACTTCCTTATGGGGACAAAAATTAAGTCCTTACAATGTAAATCATGACGTTTTGCATGACGGCAGGTTTATTTTTTAGGATAATTCTCTAGGAAATGAATGCAAGTCGAGGAAAAGATAACTGTGTGTGTCTGTGGGAGGCCTACATGTGCTGCGATGCGTTGGGGAAGGCGGTGCTGTACTGCGGGGCAGAGTCTTCGGGTCCATGAGGGGCCGCGTGACTCAGAACCATCAGAACAGGGCGGTGAGGATAAAGTCGCTTTGAAGAGCGGAAGTAACGGATCGACTCTGCCGTGATCAGGTCGGTCAGGTAGTCCTGGAAGCACAACAACCACATCACTATTATTAACCCTGATTTTCTTCACTTTAAGTTAAATCTCACTTAACATCCACCGAATCAGTGACGAAGCAGTCAGCGCAGGATCAGAGTTCTTTTCAATTTTAGCCACATGCTAAACTATTCCTGACCCATCAAATCAGGCCTCTTACATTTATTTGGCCAAACAGCTCTGCTGACATCAGATTGACCAATAAATAAAAAATGCATAGACAGTATTTGTGAAACTAAAAACGTTAACATGCAAACAATTCATCAATGGAGAAAAATGTTTCTAATAAATTCTAATAAACAATTAAAAAATAGTTACTCAGGCTTAAAAAGATGGAAATGATCATTCAAAGGTTTACACAGACACTGATGTGGCCTTCTGGATCCTCCTTAATCAGTATCAGTCGATATAAACTTAAACTTGGTTCTAATATAACAAAGTTTAAAAAGTCATTTCTTTCTTTTTTTGTTGTTTATTCGATCGGCCTGTTAGGACGGCGGTTGCCTTTCAGCAGCTTCCTACCATCCAAACACATTCAGTTAGCGGGGCTGGGTTAACTGGTGACTCTAGCTCGCCCCACGACAGAATGACCACATGTCCGGGGTGTTCGGCCCACTCCACCCTCCCACACTGAATCAGATTAGCAGAAGCACTTGGATTGGACTGATAATCACTGGATTGACATGCTGTCCCCTAACCTGAACCCTAGATGCTGTTTAGCGTAATAAGCATCGCTCGCTTCCGCCTCTATGATTACTTGCGTCCATACTTATAGTCCATACAGAAAAAGTGAGCCGTAACTCTAATAAGAACTACGTTGGGCTTGCATTGCTGTGCAGCGACAGAGTTGTGTTGTGTGTCCTCACCTGTGGATACTGCGCTCCGTGCTTCTCTCGCACGCCGTTGCGACACAGCGTGTAGTTGTAGAAGCGGCTGTTCTTCACCAAACCGAGCCATTCCCTCCACCCGGCGGGAACGTACGAACCGTTGTACTCGTTCAGGTACTTTCCAAAGAAGGCTGGAGAAAAAGCACAGATGTATTAACAGAAGCCTCACAAAGCCCGAGTGCGTGTTTGTGCATTTGCCTACCTGTCCTGTATCCAGTGTCGTTGAGGTAAACACCGAAGGTCCGTGGCTCGTGCTGCCGTTGCCAAGACGGCGAGGAACAGTTCTCGTTGTTGGTGTAGGTGTTGTGGTTGTGAACATACCTGATGGAGACAGAACACGTGTTACTACAAGAGGCTCGGACTTTGTATCCCAAGTCTCATGTAAAGTTATTTTAATAGTTCTGCTAATAGCGCTTTGGTAATAAAACACATCCATTATAGGATTTTCACCCTTTCCTTTACACATGAAGACATTAAAATCACCTGTCTAATATTACTAACGTCTTCGTTGGGCCGCCAAACCAGCTTTGACCTGTTGGGGCACAGATTATCTCACACTGAGGCATGCAGCTGATTAATTTAACACCTGCATCAGGCTGGTTCTCTGCAGAAACCCACAGCCAAGACACGATAACTGGAAAAAGCTGTAAATGACTCATAAGCAGCTGGTTGCTTACAAAACATAAGAACAGAAGAATAGAATAACCCGTTATTGTCATTGTTCAAGGAACCTGTGATCTGTCAGACGCCACTGCTGCTCTTGGGTAGTTGTTGTTGCTTCAAAACTGCGGGCCTCCTTCTGACTCAGAGAGGAGCTACTACTTAAAGGTGGTGTAAGTGGGGAAAGTGAGTAGACTAGCCGATGGAGAGCAACTGAGGAGCAAATTGCCTTTAACATGTAATAATTGGTGGAATAACTGGTTACAGCATTCGGCAAATCATCAAGCTCGGTATAGGTCGAACTTGATCGATCCTTAAGTGTAAATGTGCTTCATTATCCTCTTTGACTTGATTAATAAAATTAACATCCTTTTGTATTTAATAAGATTTGAAACTAGCACCCAACCATGACCTCATCAGTGAAGTCTTTACTGAGGTCAGGAACGACCTTTTTCCTGTAGACAGTTTATACATCAGCTGTCTTTTTGCACTTAGACGAGTTGCCCCCTGCTGGCCAACGGAAAAAATGCGTCTCGGCTCTGGCTTCACTTTTCGGGTGTAGTAGGCACCTCCATCTTTGGAACTGTACTTACTTCCCAGTGAGCATGCTTGAGCGTGACGGACAGCACATGGGCGTGGTCACAAAGGCATTAGAGAAGGAAGTCCCGCCCTCCTCCATAATGCGGCGAGTCTTATTCATTGCCTGCATCGACCCTACATGGAGAAACCCACAGTTAGCACATTGTAAAGCTTGTCCACCTGCTTTGGTGATAAGTTCCTTGGTTTCTGTTGAAAATTGTTCAAAATCATTTGCCTCATAAGCCTCAACATAAAATGGAGAGTGACACCTGAAACATGGTTCTTGTTTAAAATGCTCGATGATTAAAGATCAACTCTTTCCTCATAAAGAGACGTCATTCGACCACCTCGCCTCTGCCCTCAATAACGAGTTCTGACACCTCGCTTTATATCAGTAAAGTCGTGGTTTGGCGACCATTAGAACAGTTTACAGGTTCTTCTGAGGGCAGCTGCATTGGCGGAGACCACGCTCACCAACTTCTGACGCAAACCCAGCAGCTTTGTTCTACAAGCTAGCCTGAAATATGACAGAAACTGCTCGGCTCAGAAAGGCGCTTAGAAGGTTACTCTTAGTAAGCTTTGAAGGTTTAAAGAGTTTACCACACCTGTTCTGGTCAGAGCAATGAGCTACTAAGCCAGTACAAGACCCAATGAGTCTAACAAGCAGCGAAGAGGTTACAGAGTAACAAAAGTTCTCTCTTCCTGCAACACGCCTGCACAATCTACGATACATTTACTTAAAATGGGATCATAATCTCAGACAGCAGCAGACAACAGCCAGCTGTATGTCGTTAATAATAGAAGATTCATTTTTGGATCGCAGAGAGGAAGTTAGCCCTAAAAAGGCTCCCAGACAGTAATCATTGCACTCCGACCTGTTAAAGAACAAGATAAAGGAGTTACTTAATGATTCAAACACTTTGACTTGGAAGTAAAGCTCAGTTGTTCAAGCTGCTCAAACGAGATCCGTCCGATGTATTAATACGACGTAATATTATGTTAACTGTGTATTACTGTTAAACTGAGACTTTATGTCCACACCAGCGTGTTACCAACAATTACATTAACAGTACAGACAGTCAGACTAATGCTTATAATAAGGCTTGTAGTGGAGTTTCAGTCACCCAGCTCCATGTCCTGGTCATCAGTCAGGATGAGGATGATGTTTGGTCGGATGTTGCGTCTGTCTCTCTGGAGGCGGGGCTTCAGGCGTTGCGTAGAAGAAAAATGAGCGTGACAGAGCGCCACGGAGACAAACAGGAAGAGGAGAAGTCGACCTGCCATGGCCTTTGACCCCCGGGCCTCCCCACAAAGGTCAACCAATCAGCTGCTTCCCACAAGTTGTCTCAGCTTCTGGAAAACACACAAAGAGACCGCCTCGAGTTCAGAACCGAGGTTCAAACAAATCTGCGTGAGACTGAGCCACCGGTTTACAACGTTCGCCATTTCCAGCTCCATATTTTTATTCCTCGACTCCACTTAGAGAATCTTGGCATGACCCAGGACTCAGGATAATCCATATTTATCTTGGTGCCCCCTCAGTTTATGCTGTCTCTCAAACAAGCCGAGCTCCTATCCTATCAAGGCCACCCTGCCTGCAAGACAGCTTTCCTCTGACTTACCGTTCACAAACAGAAGATTTGAACAGTCGATGGTGGAGTTCCTGTGCTACCAGTCTAAGATGACCACAGTTTAGTTACCATAGAAGAAGAAATATGTATGAAACAGAGTGTTTATGACAGGCTGACGCCTGCGTTTTAGGCTCTGATATACTGATATAAAACCTTCAACTGGCCACTGAAAGAGAAGACCTTACAAAAGGTTTCTGGTCTACACCGTACCAGAACCACATAATGTTGCTTTAGTTATAGATATTTTAGGAAACTGTTTTCCTTCTGATATTGCAAACACTTCCTCAATCTGTTGCTAACATTCGCTTCCTAGATGCATGTTTGTTGTACTTGATTGGAATCCTGCAGGTGGTCATCAGCGTCATCAGGATTGATCCTCTTGGAGGCGAAAAGTACCTGCAGCAAATGTCACGGTAATCTGGCCAGCAGCGGGTCAGATATTTGAAAAGGCCAAACGAATGCCCCGCTGCTCGCGCAGCTGTCGGACGTGTTATGACTGTTGCAGCAGCGTTGAGCTGAAATGTGGCTGCGGTACGTGACGCGCTGCGTTTATTTACTGTGCGAGGGCGGGAATGTTGATGATCCATCCAAGATAGCGCTGCTTTCACACAGCAAAAATAATAATAATAAAAAAGTCAGAGATTTCTGGTCCCAGTAGTTACAGGACACACACACATACAAACACACACACAGTTGTCATTAGCTGCAGTCTATTGTTTCTCTGATAATAAAACGCTGAAATCTTATCAGTCACACTGACGTAAAGCACAGTAGAAATGTGTGTGTCTGCAAATGTGAGTGTGTGTGTGTGTGAGAGAGAAAGAGCTCACAGCAGGGTGTATCATGCAAATTAGCCAGTAATCAAAACAGAAGAGGCTCAGTGCTCATTCTGAACACACCCACGGTGATGTGTGTGTGTGTGTGTGTGTGTGTGTGTGTGTGTGTGTGTGTGTGTGTGTGTGCGGCTGCTGATGGAGCTCTCATGTTAAAGTGGTCTGGTGGCTCCAGCTGTGAACAGACTGGAGATTACACACGACCTGCTGAGAGAGAGAGATTGGCAGAGAGACCTCCACGCTCCATTCAGGCCACAGCCACAATCACGTATTTCATTTTAAAAAAGTCTTCACCAAAAAAACATATTTTGAGCTCATGTTTTGTGTAAAAATGCTCAAAGAATCCAGAATGAAGCCACCCGGATACTCCACAGCAGTATAAAGAGGTCACAGAGGAAGGGAACACTGGGAGTTGGGAGGTTTTGCAATGCAAATCCATCAACATATTCACGTGATAACAAGATTATTATCCACAGACAGAGAAAGGAGGCCCACACAGTAACGATGAAATCAGAAAGGGTGAGCCGGGCTGGAACATTCTGGGTCCTGTGACAGAGAAAGAATCTGCTTGAAGAATAAAGTGTCTCCGCTGTTTTCTTGTATTTGTAAGACTGTTTGTGGTACCATGACTCTCAGTCAGGAGGTGAATGTGGTCGTCTACGTCATTGTTTCCCAAAGTTCAAAGACACTAACTACAACTAAACTAAACTCAACTGTCCTTACATTTCAGCTCAAACCCTTAAATGCGTCACAGCCTTAAAACTGTCAGCTGCAGCTTCTCATGTGCACAATTTTTCATCTTTAATGTTTGTTCCCATATTTTTCTCTCCTTGGAGATGAACTCCAATTTCACATTCTTACCTGTTCAAACCAACTTTTGAACCAATCAGCATTCAGCCTGAACATACAGAGGTCACATTTTATTGCTTCTGCTGCATCTCTGCAGTCTGTGCTTTGGTTCCCATGATCCCTCTGTCTGCAGAGGCAACAGGTTGCACAAACAGACGTCAGAACAGGACCATAAATCCCAGATTTATTTGATTTATTTGTGCTCAGGGCATGCTCGTGTGGTGAGGACCCTAAACATGGACTGATGTCACACACTGATCTTGTTTCTGTTGCTGCTATGTTGGAATTTTGAAACTGGATGTTGAAAAGTGAGGCGCTGACCAAAAAACCCTGAAAATGTAGCACCGGAGCAGTTACGCAGGAGGCCTACCTTAAAGGTTACGGTACTTTATCACTAATGGGGATCATAACATTAAGAATAAACATCATGTTGTCATCAGTAACACTTGAAAATAGGGATTGAGACCATATCTAGATAAGTCGCCCTCTGCTGGCCAAAGGACATAATGCTGACACTTCTGCATTTGCTTCATATTTCAGTCCTGGAAGCTACTTCCACTCTGACATTCTTTTAAAATATAATTCTTCATAAAGCACCAACATAAATGACTGACAGCTAAAACTGATTACATTAAACTTAAGATGAACAACTGTGCAGATTTATAATGGAGTGTTCAGTGACATTAAATCTGCATTTGTAATCTGATTTAACAGAAACTGTTCTAACAAACTTTCTGACATTTGATACTTAAGCTGCTCTCAC